AAAATTTCGAATTTTTCACTTTCATGGAAAATTTCAGTGAATAGCTCCTCGATTGTCATGTTCTCCTGATACTTTTACAAAAATTTCGAATTTTTCACTTTCATGGAAAATTTCAGTGAATAGCTCCTCGATTGTCATGTTCTCCTGATACTTTTACAAAAATTTCGCATTTTTCACTTTCAGTGAAAATTTCAGTGAAGAGCTCCTCGATTGTCATGCTCCCCTGATACTTTTATAAAAATTTCGAATTTTTCAGTTGCAGTGAATACCTACCCAAAGAAAAAATTGGAATGATTTAAAAAAAAAAAATGAATGACGGCGGGATCGAACCCGGGCCGTCGGCGTGCTAGCCGAGCACGTTACCGCTAGGATAACGTATTATTATAAAAATAATTTTTTATTAGGAGTATATATATTGAAAAAGTATTGTTCTCAAAAATGTCGAATTTCTCAATTTTACTGGATATCTTCTCAATTTTCAATTATTAAGTTTTTAAATGATATTTCCATTAATTAGCGATTACAAAAAAAAAAATAGGAATTATTTTTAAAAAAAAATGAATGTTGGCGGGATCGAACCCCAGCCATCGGCGTGCTAGCCAAGCACGCTGCCACTAAGACAACGCGCTCATTATGAATGATATAATTTCATTAGTGGTATATCTTCAATATATTGAATAATTTTTTTCATTGAAATTCCATAAGATGTCGCTTCTCCCTTCCGCTGGTTCTACAGTCGGCTAAATTTCAGTTGAACAAATAAAAAATAAAAAGCATTCATACTGCAGAAAATAAAATTCACCCCGTCGACTTGGACACCCCAGTATTGCGTGTTGCGCCCTCCCTCTCTTGGGGTGCAGTACTACAATGCCGCTGGGGTCACTCAAACCCCCAGAACTGATCCTCTACTTTAGTCAATTCACTTTGGATTGAATCCTAAAAACCATTAGAACCATTTTTAAGGTTAATCCCAATGTGAGTATTTTATGGATTAATGCCTCGCCGGCGAGGCATCGAATTTTCATGCCCACAATATGTGAATAACAAGTTGCACAGAAAATCGAATTTTACGAAATCCTTCTATTTGACATTTCCTATCAAACATTCGAATAGAATCAACGAAAATTTCATTTAAAGTTCCATAGAAATCCAATCGAAATTTCTCGCAAATTTGGAAGGATTTTGTATTAAGTTATTTCATTGGTATTTATCAAAAGGTCGATTTCAGGGCGTCACTCGTGAAGACAGATTACTCCACCTCAGACGGCACCATTAAAAAACACGTAATAACTCATGGTGCACTCGAAGCCAAACCAATGGATGGATCTGTATGCCACCTGCACATCGAGGACATACAGATACTCCCTCCAAATTCCCTGGACCTGTCGACCTTGAACAGCGAAATCCTCTCATCCAAACCAGACATCATTATCACAATAAATGAAACCCTATCACAGTTTGACAATCAGCTTGAAGTGGCCATCAGATGGATGGGTGAGAAAGAAGTAGCTAGGATTTCCATAAGGCTTCCAGCTCCTGACGAGAGCAGCAACGATTCAATAACAATTGAATTCACAGCAACCCTGACCTCTCACATACCATGCAAGCCAATTTGGACATGGAGTCCAAAAGAAAAATATAACTTGGCCATGAAGTACAAGAGCATGGGAGTAGATCTGGTTCGGGAAAACCGATTCAAAGACGCCTTCCACAGGTTCAGCAAGTCCACCAAACTCCTCATCTCCATGGAACCCATGGAGCCCGATGTCGAGCGCCCAGAGGAGCTCATTATGAAAATACAAGAGCTGAAAACAAGTCTCTATAATAACATGGCGATGTGTCAGGTGAAATATAATAATCAAGAGCATGCGATTGAGTTGTGCACGAAAGTACTTCAGAGGGACGAGTACAACGTAAAAGCACTTTATCGAAGGGGCTGTGCGTATGGGGCACTGAGAGATAACGAAAAAGCTATTGAAGACCTTCAGAGGGCTGCCGAACTCGAACCTGACAACACGGCTGTTAAGGAGAAGTTGAAGATTTATAGGGAGAAGTTCAGACTCGCCAAGATTCAATCGGACCTCATGGTGAAACGAATGTTTAAAAGTTAAATAGTTTCCTGGGGGCGATGCACATATCCTTGAGGATTCAATGATAAAAAGGCAGTTTACAGACTTTTTTTTAAATATTTTTAAGACCACTTTTCTCGGATTGAAAATGAAGAGGTCATTCCTTATGAGAAATTCATCGGTTTTGGGGGGTGGAGCATTAAAAAAAATATACTATTACAAATATAAAAACCTGGAATAGTACCTGTGGTCAAATTTTCGTAGAGACGTTTTTCGTGGAGCGAAATCCTCTGCCAGTATTATGAAACCTTCAGTGTTTCAATAAATAAAGTTTCTTTGTTGTTTAATAAATACAACTTTGTTCATTAATATAAAAATACAGATTTATTGACTACCCATTTTCGACTTACACCAGAGTTACTATTTAAAACGTGTTACATATCTTCTCGAAATTATTTTTCATTTCTGCAGCTTGAAGATTTAACTTATGTATTATTTTTAAAATGACCAATATTGGATGTGGGTCACCTAAATTCGGCAATAAATTCAGTGAAAAATTTCTATATTCGATCATAATTTTCGAATGATTAGGTTTATTATCCAAACGTATGCGATAAATGAGCTTCAATATTCGAAGTGAGCTGTTGCGTCATTCAATCAGGATAATTGAATGGGCGAGATTATCGTTACGAATAGAAAATTGAACTTTAACACATCGACAAAACCATAATAAATCATATATTTAAGATCACATTATACACTGTATCAGCTGTTTCTTCTAAGACGCAAATCGTCGACACATCAACGAATTAGAACATGAATTCCAAATGAACTTAAACCAATCATGCGAGAGCTTTTTGATTTTTTCAACGTGAAGGGACGAAGTGCGAGATTAATATGTCATTAACGATTCCTCCAATCAATAGAAAATAAATATTCTAAACGAAAAAAAAAAACAACCAGATAACCAACAGTTGAATGGCACCTTGTATTGATGCTGGATAAATAAAAAAAAAAATTAATGGTTATTTCTGCTTTCAGTATTATGTCCTAAAATCGACGGGAGAAGGGAGTTTATGCCCCTTTTGTTCTCTCCACTTCGCTAGTTAAAAAAATCGTCGTTTCTATAATCCAACGGACGAAAAACTCCTTAAATAATTGGCAAGATAGATTTCTCACCAGAATAATAGAGAGAAATAAACAATATAATTTTTCAACTCATTTAAATATCCGAAAGAGCCCAGTGGTTCTCCTATCAAAATGAACAAATGAAATCTCACATTATATTAAACTTTATCGTGCAACAAAATATAAACATGGCATGTCTGTGAAAAAATGTTCCAATAAATTGTCGGGACTTTCAAGGAGGAACAACTTTAAAATTCCTGAATGTAAATCTGGCACATTGTTAACATAATCATTAAAGTTACCTATGTACACAGTAACGCGATAAAACACTTTTTCTAAGTTTTTATGAAAATTCTGGATCAGGAAAACATTTCGTAATGGATATCGAATAATTTTGTTCCTCTTTAGAATTTCTAGAATTCACGCCAATTTCATCTCAATAAATTTTCAATTATTCTGAGAGAATTTCATTCCTATAACAATCTTAGTTAATGAGATAAATATTAATTGTCATCTTCTGATGTTTTCCATCAATTTTTGTTCAACAAATCTAACGCACTGATTCGTAATCAGGAAATACTGTACATTCGCAATATTACCTCCAATAAGAAGTTTAGTTACATTGTTCATATTTTACCACTCGATTTTTATATAAAAAACATTGCAACAATTTTCTTACATTTTTCCTTCCGCGAGTGACATGAAAATGCCATTCAGTGTCCCATAGATAATGCAAAAATGTATGAATCAGAATTTGATGAATTTGAAAAAAAAAAATATATTGAAAGTTGAATGTAATGAGGGATGGAGATTTCTCTTTTTTCGATTTACGATACTTTCGTTTTTCCATTTAATGCAGTTGCATTCATTGTTGTATTTGTCGCCATTTCCGCCGCCTGGGCAACAGCTACAGATACAGATTTTTCTACAAACTGCTGATAAACAGGTTTCATGAACTGAAAGAATGAGAGAGGATTAATTAAATTTTTTCATAAAGCAATAATCGCATATTATATAAAAAATTTATAGAATCGTCACTTTCTCAAATTTTATTAATTTTTCAGAGGAAAATCTAGGTGAATGCAGTACTAAATGATCGTCATTGAATATTTCAAGATTTTTTCGAAATACTCTGCACGATTTTCAAGTACTACATAAGATGAAGTTAAAAAATTAAAAATTAGAACAGCATATTTGTAGAACATCACGAGAAGGGTAGCAATCCAGTTGGAATATTGAAAAGACATTACCTTCAACGTGCCTTGATTCCTTAAAGCACTCTGGTTGGTAGTGGGATTAGAATAAAGAAAAAAAATTAAAACAACCCCAAGAGGACGAAAATAATGACAAACGTACGTCGAACTTAAGATCTAAACAGTGTAATAAAATCATTCGATACACCGGTAATAAGTCGGATTGTAACATAAATGAAGAATATATAGAGTGAAAGTGAAGCGTGGGATCAGATGTAACCGTGTTTATGAAATTGTTTATAAACAACTGTGATAGTTGGTAGTGCAGCAACAATTAGTAAGGATAGAAGTAGGTAACGTAATTTGTGTAGGAGATGAGCGCATTGCCAGGCCTGTTGAGAAAAGAAATATAGAAAATAACGTTACTGGCTTCACTGTCCAGGAATCTGTAGTACTTATCAATTAATATTAATCCTAATTGTTGTGAATATGTTACAATGACTAGTAAATGTTACGTATCTGATCGACATGCAAAAATTTTTTTTAATCAATGAGAAAAAAAAAATTTACTCACATTTTCCCATATAGCACTTGCTAAATCATCAATCTGGGTACCGATCTCCCTCAATTCTCCGCTATACCTGAATACCAATGAGAAACATTGATTTAAATTCAATTCAATTTAAAATTAATTCTTTACAGTAAAAAGATCGATTGATTTCAAAGGAATGTAGGTGTGTACAAATATTTTAAAGTGATGCTCAATTACATAAATTACCTCTTGACTATGAGTTTGAAAAATTCTTGGAGGAAAGAAGAACAAACCTTATATAAGCCCACAGAACGAGCGTGAGAAGTCCGATCCCCATGATGAGATTACAAATATTAGCAAGGGTGTAAAGTCCAACTAATCCAAATACACCTGAGAACACATACATCGTAACAGCAATAGCGAAGAACACTGCCGGTGTCCGTGCAGCCTTGAATATATTTTTGCTCTCGTTGTGAGCTTTGAATTGCAAAAAAGACTCATCCATATCCTGCAATTGAAATAATAGAAATCCCTCAATCATCGTCTGAATTTTTTTCCACTTTATTCCACAAGCAAATAATTATGAATAATTAAAAAATGCTCAGTTGATGATCGGTACCTTCATGAGCTTTTCCATATACGTCTGGCTGAACTCATCTCCTCCCATTTTCCTTTTATTAACAAACTGATGTAGTGCCTTATCGACGCATCTCTGATGCTCAGACTCCAAGTGTGCAGTTGCCAAAAATGGTTTTGTACCACCACAAACGCATTCCATCATTTGTAAATACAGATCCTTAGCATCAGCAACAGCTGAGAGATTATTGGCCTCGGCAGTAGCGACAAGCATGCTCTTCGGCTCTGGCAACTCGTCCCCTTTATAAATTCTGATATAACTCTTGAAGTACTCCAGAAGATCTCTAGCCCTCACCGTCTGTCCATTGATTTTCTTTGTGACCAAATTTTCTGGTGCCAGCAGTGTGGGGATGAGATTTCTCAATTGCTGTTTGAAATCGGTTTCGATTTCGGCGAGTCTGCCATCGAATTTTGGATTTGTTGCAATTTTGAGGCCAGGGTGTGGCATCAGGAAGCAAGAAATATCAGAGAAACATGATTTTATGTGTTTCCTGAGACTCTGGAGCTCTGGATGCTGGCGATCAGAGATCTCCAGGCGTCTCTGTAAGATTTTCTGCCCTCCCTCGGCGCCATATTTCGCTTCGTAAGGATAACTCCAGTCCCTCACCAAAAACTGCAGCCTCTGGAAGGGTGTGCTACCCGATTTCTCCAGTGCCAATCTCCCGTACTCTGTGAACAGCTGCAGATGCTGGAGATCGTCCTCCTGGATGTTCTGAGAGAGATTGAATATTTGTACGGACGATAGCATTGTGCTAAGAGCAAACACCGTTGCACAGTCTCTGACTGTTGATTGACTGTCAAATGCACCCTGTGTATCCATCAGAATCACAGCGATTTTTTCACCATTCAGGAGAGTCCCTGGAAATACTTTGGACCACATCAGGATGCCAGTTGTGTCTCGCTCAGAACCTCCACGCCACGAAAAGCCACTCAGGGGCTCATCGTCATTGCCCAACCAGGAATCGTCATCGATCTTGTGGAGGTATTTACTGTTCATATAACGTAAGAAAAAATCAAGGAGAAAGCTCTTGCCTTTCCTGAATGCACCAGCTACCGAGACCACAACGACGCTGCGATCTTTGATATCATCCTGGAGAAGAATTTCCGAGAGTGCTTCCTCGTCTAGTTCAAAAGTATGATCTGGATGAGCTAGGACAACTTGAATAGGTCTTCCTGCGGCCACAGACTTCTCAGCCTCCTCAGTGGCCACATCCATCGAAGACAATCTTTCGATTCTCTCTTTGAATCCACGATGATCTACAGAAAATTCAGTCATCGAATCTCATTTCTCCATCAATTCACTTTCAATAATGACAAGCAAATAATACACTCGATCAACTTGATATTTCTTCTAACAAGTTAATGATCTCTAAAAAGCCTCTCCAGTAGATGGAGCGTTTTATTTGAATTCGGAACAGTTTGCTCTCAAATAAGAACCATTAAAGGTTGAAAATTGAATAAAAAGGTTCGCCCCTTACAACGAGAAAAACTCGCAATCTTTCGCGCTTACATTCAAGAATCTCCGTGAATAATGAAGAAAGGTAAACGAAAGAAAAAAGGATCAAGCTGGGGGAGAAAAAAAAAATTCACTCTAATAGGAGAACTAAATGCCGAGCAAGTTCGAAGGATGTCCAATTACGGTACGCGACTTTTCTAGGTAATAAAGCGACGTGTATCCAATCTGGCTCTCACATTGAAACGAATGCCTTGGCTACGACGAAGGTAAAACTCAATTTTTTTTTAAGGTAGAGTTATACGCTTTTAGCGATTACGCTATTGCCAACGCAGAGGGGGTACCAATTGCACCGGATGACAGAGGATGTAACTCCGCCACTTGATATTTTTTTTTCTCTCTCTTTTTCTGAATGAACACCGAGTGGGTGGATGCAATCATAATTACTACGTCATCTCAGCATCAAAGATCACGTAAAGATAATTGCGTCACTGTAGTGCTTGCAATCCAATTTCATAGAGAGATGTAACGACTAGCTCTGAGTGATTTAATTTGGATTCAAATGAAAGTACGATGGAAACAAGCGAATCACGGTTGATGCTTCAGTGAATGGATGAATGAGAATGAAAAATAATCGGCATTACTCTGACGTGAGATGTTTCATAAATATGTCGCAATGTGAGAGACACCTTGAAAGGATCAGTCCTTTCGTTCTAAATTTAATCCAAACGTAATCTTTAAGTGTGTAACGAGTGATTTGATTGATTGATGAAGAATAATTTACGGATCATATCATTAATTCATTATTGATTATCACTTGAAAATAATTCAGATAAGCACTGAAATCTCAACGCAATCTCAAGAGGCGAAAAATAATCAAATGGAGAAAATTGATCGATCATATCATTCGATAAAAATTGAGAAATCATTTATCTCAATGTCGCGCAACTTTTTTATACTCTCGCCATTGCCTGTAAAAATAAGAAAAAAGTTCTGATCCAAGAGATTTTTTCTTGAAGATTTTTCTTTACTCAAAGGAAATTTCGTTTCACCGCTTCAATCCATTTCTTAGATGATATTTTTTTTTCACAGGTGATTCAGTCACTATTCTCTCATTTTAAAAAATCGTCAGTTATCATTCCGCTATTGCAGTAATTGAGAGTAAAATCTACAATAGCTACAGGCGCATCCATAAAAATTGATCACATGTAATTGAACCACTCACCGACTTTACGGTGCTGTCTACTCTCCGGTACACGATTTACGTTTTCATCGAGCAACGTCATTGGGGGTTTTGTAGCTGCAATCAGAGGATTTTCATTTAAACTGATTAAAGCCAGAATAATGGCCATTACGAAGATCATTCGAAGCGATCTAACCGGATATTTTTAGGAGTCATGTGTCTAGCGACATTCTTGTTACATCCAACAATAAACTCTGACAGTGGAATATATTATTTGATTTTGGTGCAATTCATATCGGAATCACACGGTGAGCCATGGTTACATGTTAGAGGGTTATCATATCGAGGAAAAAAAAAGGGTGAGGCTAAATCGAAAATAGGCTGAGACACACCACGAGCAACCATTCCAAATCCGTCTGGTAATCTGTCTCGAGTTCGTCTATCCGATGGCCTCTCGGGGCGAGGACTATGTCTGATTCTTCTCCTTTGTTCACTCATATCGAGATCTCTTAATTAACATCTGCTAGACGTACAATAGGACTTTTCAGCGGATTAGAAAAATTTAATGAGGAACCATCGATGCTCATACGCGGGAGAGCACACGACGAGTACTAAGGGTAAGATTAAATGTAGATTTTCCGTTATAGGCGGATTGCAGCGCCACAAAAATGCTTGGCAGACATGGGAAAATAGTTGGAACGAGTGACTTGAATTGGCAGAGACCCACGATATTTGGCAGAATGACCGCATTCATCAGACAGCTGGTTTCTCACCGATGGACTATTTCAATTTAATTATTTTTCTTTTCCAATTCTTTCATTAATTGTGCAATCAATGTGTCAATATCCTGTGAAAATTCTTCCAGATTCATGATTTAAAGTCTTCGGTTGAAGTCATGGAAATTAGTATTTTCTGAGACTTTCTGGAATTTTGGGAAATTCAGTAATTTAGGTCATACAATTAATTATATTATAAGATGCATCTCGTGAGGGCAAATGTAATTCCCTGAAATTAACTGAATGGAGTTTAATTATAGTGGTACAACTCGAATTTCTAGTGCCTGATGTTATGATAAGTAGATTGAGATTATTACATTCATCTCGAGAACTTTGACTGTTATTGCTAATTCATTGTCAGAGGGTTGTGATAGTGATAAGAGCATGGAGCTTTCAAGTATTCATAAGACTGGAATAAAGTTAATAATTCAGGGAAATCTGGATTTTTTATGAAGAGAAAGAAGTCACGCAGACTATTCGTGAGGTCTTAACATTTTAAAAAATGGATGAAGTCAAATTTGAATGACTCATTTCTCATTTTTAATATAATTGTGGTCAAGAAAATTTTTAATTGATTGAAACTAGAGCTATAGATTGATTGGAGACTTCTGACAATATTCTGTTACTCCATCGGAACGCAGAGCTATTTTCACATTCCCAGAATAATATTTAAAAAGGCTTCATCGATATTCAGAATAAATAAAAACGAAAAAAAATGGATATTCGAACATTCCCACTATTTACATCGGTAAATATTGGAGCTGTGTGCAATTAGAGTGCTGCGACTGATTGGTTTCATATTCATTTCACCAAGTAATGTACGTTTAATTAACGGAATGTATTGATCCACAAAATCGAGAATATAAAGCACGTGATTCGTTGACGAGATAAAAGAGATGATTTACCATCGCATCCCCCATTCAATTTTCCCGGTTCACTGCAAGTATTATGTACATAAATTTATTCACGATTCCTTAAATATCGATATGTAACGGTTAATAAAATTTTCTCAGTCGAAATAGTTCGTATGAAAAACAAAATTGAATTCGAGTCGAAGTCGTCAACCGCAACGATTCAGGAAATTCATCGAGTTTCGTTTTAATGAATTTATAATGAGTGCGAGTGCCTTTGATATAATTTACTGAAAATATGATATGAATATCCCCGTAAACAAAGTTATTAAAAATTCCAGAAATATCAATTTCCATCCCCTCAAACTTTTACACATTCCCTTCCACCAAGTTCTCTAATTATCAGGGCTTCAATAAATCGTCTCCCTTAATACACAAACTTCCAAAACTGGGTTTCGAGGTATTTATTATAGTCCCTGCAGATCCCCGTGGTGGAAATATAACTCTAGATTTCCGAATTAATTACACATTCTACATCCCGCATAGTTTACGGGCTTCTTTACCCTGGAAATAGGAAATAAACGGGTATGAGATGGATATGACTGAGTAGTTACTTCAGGTGACGTTTTCCTTTTTTCGAAGTACATTATCATCGTTTTTTGTAATGTTGCCCACTGCCAGCGGTATGTGGCAGCAACCCTCGTAAATTTTTTCATTGTAAAAAATTAAAAAAGTTGGCAGTAGAAGCCAACTACGTCATTCACCGATTCAACGGGATGTTGTTGAGATTTAATTGATCTCTCATGCGTACCCCTTGGGCCCATAAAATAATGCATACCTCAATTAATCACCGAATATATGATAAAGTTGGATTAAAATTATGAGTGGGATATTATGGGATAATTATTGGACTTTATCAAACTCAAATGACACAATGACGTGAGAGTCATCACGTAGGCAGAATGAGTGCAACTTTCTATCCATCGAATTATGGGTTATTATAACCTCAACATTACACGGCACTTTTATAAATTAGCAACTTTAACGAATAAAAAATACGCTAAGGGGAACACACCAATCCTAGACTCTCACGAGTGCCTTGAAAAATCATCATCGATTGACCGTCAGTTCAAGGTTAATAACATGCAAATGACACATTTTTTTTTCTGAATGGAAGACAGGTTTCTCTCCGGATGTTACAAATAAATAAATAAATTCATAATACAATATTTGAAATACCTTGAGAATTGGGTTTTTGATGTGGCATTTTCGGTCACTGTCGATCTTGATAATGCGTCAAAAAACAAATGGTGAGAAACTAAAAAAAAAAATCAACACGAGAACAATAACTTGAGTGATACAGCTGGCACTTATGTGATGGAATACTACATATGCACTGGAGAATGCGTGTCGTTAATTGACGGTGATTTAATGACGATGAAGAGAAATTGATTGAGTTGGTGATTCGATATTTTGGGGTTGAAAATGATTTTTTATGGAGGGACTTCGGCATTTGGAAGTGACGATCTTTAAATACAAGACGTTTGACTTACCAACATATGAGCCAACGTAATCGTCACTGTGTTTATGTTGTCTGATATACGCCATATTGAAATTGTCGGGATGACGACACGTCCGCAAGAGGCGCCTCCGTGAAACTACGTGATACAAAATTACGTCCTACTTTGAATCGAGATGATTTTTTCACCTCAACAGATAGAGATGTTGTTTCGTTCTAATCGAAATATAATCGATTGTTTTTTGATTATTACAGAATCAAATTGACATAAAAAATATATTGTTTCAAATTTCTATTATTATTCAACTGACGACATTAATTCTGTCATAAAAAAATTAAAATTCATATAATAATCATCACGGATAATATATAATAAAATTCTGCTTGCAATTGTAAAAAATTTGTTGAAATGAATTTTTAACTGATGCATCCTTGAACATGAAAAAATTCTGATCTACATTGCCTCCGATGTAGATGAGGATTTTTTCATTCGGGTGGAGTTCCAGTGGTGATTATTTTTTGTGGTAGTTGCTGATTTATACTGGAGTGCGTCAATGCGTGTGGGAATGAGAGGGAGAAGTCCTGGATAGGATAGAAGGATTTTGCAGGGAATGGATGATGACCTATAGGACAATAGACAGGCTAACAATGGCAAGCACGACCTGAAACGACGAGAGACAATGACATGGTCACTGCAACTCCAAACCAACCTCTGCCTTTGAACCCTAAATCAACATTCAGTGTCGTAAAATGAGTTTTCGCATCATGGAAGAACTCTGACGAATTGCTATTGCATGACTGAAACTCCTCAGAAAATACCCGACAAAATAATTAAAAAATACACTTCAGCACTCCCACACCTGCCGAGCGAATTAAACAATAAAAAATCGCAAACAGTTTTCTGCAAGAAATAACCAGGGTAAAAAAAAAATAGTAATCGGAATATTTTTTCCAAATTTTCAAAAAAAAAATCGGAAAACGAAACAATTTTATTTTTGGAAAAGGTTTTGAAAAATTTTTCAAAAATTTGAATAGGAAATTTTTTTTATAATTCAGATGGCGTATTTTTTAAAACTACAGTATAATTGAAAGAAAAAATTATATTCGTTAAAATTATCAGTAAAAGTTTTCCAGAATTTTTTTGAAAAATTGGAAAAAATATTTCAATTACAATTTTTTTTTTACCCGGGTATTTACATTCCTCAATGCACTGAACAAATATTATTTTACATTCGATATTATTTTATTACCGATTCACAATAATATTTGTAAAAATGAAAAATATAGTGAGATGCATAGACTACCCTGGGATAATCATAATTAGAGAGTGGATCTCCATTAGTAACTCGGAATAAAGTAAAACAGAGCGAAAACGAGAGGACATTGTGGATAAAATGACAGGAGTGAGAGAGTTGAAGGGGGGAAAATTGATAAGCAAGAGGAGGATGGAGGAAGAGATGAATAGACCTGGGGAAGGGGTTGGGTATGGGAGAATCGGAGGGTTGTGTCTCGGTTCGGACGGTCCGGGTGGACAGAGCATTTACATCATTTAATTTATGACCCTCTCTTGCTGTCCAGCGGCTAGCCTCCAGCACACCAGATCCAGAAGAGAGGGTATATACCAGGGGCATACAGTTCGTGTCGTACGTGGCCACGATCACCACACATATACGAATGTGGCATGGATGCACCAGGGGTGGAAAAGAGGGGTTGGAAAAGGGGGGTGGTACATCCTGATGATGGGCCACGAATAAATTTGCATATGCATGTTGCCGATGCGAATGTACGCGGGCAAAGAGCGAGCACTCGGGATAGGAAACTCAACGTTATATACGATGATGGCGCCTGAGGTGGTACATGAAAACCCCAACGGATGAAACTCTCTCTTTTCTCTGTCTCCGTTGTACGTTTACCTGTCTCTTCCCCATGCTAATGAGGATCGACCATTGTATACACATCTCGACCTTGATGACTGGCCAAATGCCAATTAGGTCTCAGACGGTTTCATAAAGCGTCTGGAGATGTCTTCAGGGTTTAATTCAAGGGGTTGACAACGAAAATCGGTGGAGATGGTGGAAATCCGTTGGGACAGGCCATTTTCGGGGATTTTTGAGTTGTCAGTTATCATCTCCGAGGTGAATATGGGTGAATACATGCGAGATCGGAGTTGAGGTACTTATTATCGTTGAAAATTGATTAGGAGTTGTTGAAGAATGGAACTTTGAAAATATTCATAGTGAAACAACTTGAAGCGGATGGTCAAATGGGGTGACGGAGTACCCATCCAAGTAGATAACTCCCTTTCATCGAACAACTAGGAAACTTAGTGCAGTTTCTCCTTGATTCTCGTAACCCATAGCCTTGACAATGTTGGAGCGACACCTCCACATTTTCAACATCTAGAAGATTAGCCTCACATTCGGTAACTCTGCAGTGAGAAAATTAACCCGCAAGCTATGGCCCAGTCTTATCGTA